AGTCTGTGCATTTCCAATACGGCAGACACTATTCAAGGTCCCTGACAGCTTCTCACAGGCCTGGACTGCTGCCAGGATTGCTTTCATTTTCCGATAAGACAGGACTCCTCCACAGCCGATCAGCAGGAATCCAGTTATCATAAATCTAAGTATACAGATCTTCCACATCTTCAATGGAAAGCGGCGCCAAACAGATGAGGTTCCGCCTCCAAGAACCAGAACTCGCCTGGCCGCCACCATTCCACTGGGACAGCTGCGCTCCCCTCGCTCTAATCTCAGGGTGGAAAAAATAGTGTCGATTGAGTTCAGAGACCAGTTGACCAGATCCATAATTCCTTTAATTTTCAGATGATAGGTAGACGAAAAAGGCTTGACACAGCTGCAAAGCAGGGAAGGAGGGACAGGTTCAAGAGAGAGAGCAAAAAGCGTCCAACTCCTCTGGAGGCCAAGCAGAAAAATAAATAAATAAATAAATAGAGCTAAGTCTCAGCTACCAATACATTCATTTTAGCATATTATATCAAAAATTGGCTAAATTCAAATAATTTGAACTGACTTTAGCTTCTAAGCTAAGCATAAGCTGAACATTAGCTAAAATTGCTGCAAATAGCTAAATATAGCAGAAAGCAATTGTAGGAAGCATATATGGCAAAAAGTAGTTGAAAAAAAWTACAAAAAATAGCAATTAGCAGAGAAATAGCAGAAAAAAGCAGAATTTTAACTAATATAGCAGTAAAACAGCTAAAATTAGCATAAAATAAGCTAAAGGTAGCAGCCTCAATTTGAAAGTAGCCCTCAGATGGTGAAATGGTTATAAAATATTCTAAATTAGCAGGAAAAAAAATAAAACTACAAAAAAGTGATCATTTGTAGTAAAATAGCTACAACAGCCAAAGTTTTCAGTAAAATAGCTAAAAAGTAGCTTGAAATGTTTTAATTAGCACAAGGACCACAGGTTTGCTGAATTTAACAGAATTAAGTTGTAATAGCTACAAAAAGTGTATTTAGCTTAAAAAAGCTAACTTTAGCTAATACCAGCTAAAAATTTGCTAAAATTGCAACAACTAGCTGAATATAGTAGAAAGCAACTGTAAGAAGCATAAACAGCACAAAGTAGCAGAAAAAAGCATAAAGTACAAGAGGAATAGCAGAAAGAATGAGAATTTTTGCCATAAAGCATTCACACAATGATGTTTGTGATGATGATGATGCTGCTGCTGATGATGATGATGACGATGATGATGATGATGATGATGATGATGATGATGACGACGATGATGATGATGTGCTCAGGTGTTGCTGAAGGCTGAGCGGAGGAGAGGAACAGGAGGACAGGTGGCGGTTGATGATGTCACTCTGAGACGGGGGGCGTGTCGATGACATCACTGACACAGTTTGATGAAGAGACGATTCAAAGGAGCGTTCGGCTGTTTTTAACCAGACATGCGATGAAGATGAACCTGAAAACTGTCAGTCGGACCACCTTCATCACTGCAGCGCTTCATCATCCTCATCCTCACTCTGCTGCTGGGYTTCTTCTGTTCAGAACTGAGACGTTTACAAGTTCCAACATTTATTTCAGCTCCGCCTCCTTTAAAGAGTTAAATCATGTTCATCGYTCTAATGTTTCAAAACTCCAATGAGATGAACGTTTCCACAACGTTTCAGCTGGAAAATGTTTTTCTTCTGAGATCAGATGAACTGTTTCCTCATATTTAAAGGACCAAGACCCTAAAGGATCAGGCACRGAGGAGGCAGCATCATACTGAGGGACATCTTTATGGTGCGGTATGAGGGCCAAAATTAAGACTGTTGCTCAACCAACTGTTGCTACATCCTTGTAGCAGGAGGATAAATCTGTTCCCAATCCAGCTATTGATCTGATTAATGATAGACCGACACCGCTAACTGAGCAGCTGGCCCCGCTAACTGAGCAGCTGGCCCCCTAACTGAGCAGCTGGACCACTAACTGAGCAGCTGGACCCACTAACTGAGCAGCTGGACCCCTAACTGAGCAGCTGGACCACTAAATGAGC